GGCCCGGAGCCGCAAGGCGCCCTCCTCCATCGCCAGCCCTCGCTGCCCCGCTGCCTGAAACGGCACTGGCAGGGAAAGCTGTGAGGGGCTGAGGGTGGTCGTATGCAATCAAAAAAGCCCGTGTGTGCGCTGGTCAGGCACGCTGTGGAGGCTGACACCAGGCTTTGGCATGCGCCGGTTGTACTTCCATCTTCCCCCGCTGCATTCGCAGACTGTGGGCTTCTGGAAGGCCCTCGCTTGGGCTGTTGTTTCCAGACGTTTTGGGTTTTTTAATGTTTTCCCTGGGAGTATCTGGCCCTGTGGGTGAATGCCCGGGGAAGGGAGGTCCGTGTGCACACCAGCCTCCGCACCGTCCCGCTGCCCCCCACGCCCACACTCACGCTTCAACTTGGCCGAGCTGTTGGCGATGGCGGCCGATCTGGCAAAGAGCTTGACGGGGAGCGTTGCCTTCACGCGCCGGACGAGGGGGATGGTGACCCGCGGCCGCTTCACAGGAACCACCCTGGGCACTGGAGAGACTCGGCCCCGGTACTCGAAGAGCCTGGAGCGGGGGCAAGGATGGGGCGGGCTGAGGCAGCCCTGCAGCCTTGCCGTGCCGGCCATCGTGGTGCCACAACTGGAGCCCAAGCAGCACTGGCAGTGAGCTGGGGCACAGCCTGGCCACCGGACCCCACCGCACTGGGCTGGGCTGGACCACCCTGCACCCCACCTTGCTCCCCAGGGCAGGAGTCATGCTGCAGGGAATCTAGCTCTGTAGAAAACCCCTTTGGCTGATGCCTCCCCTGCTCACCTGTCGTAGAAGTCGTCTCTGTAATAGTCATAGTCGAAGTCGTAGCCGCTGCAGGGACAGAGTCAGGATAGCATGGGTTAATTAGGGCTGGCAATTTATTATTATTACTCCCCCATTGCCTGCTCAACCTCCCAGGTCCTTTATTTATTCCCCCTCCACAGGGGAGCCCCTGTCCTTCCACCTGGCAGGACATGCACACTCATCCTCCCGGCTGCGAGGGAGGTGGGCTGAGCCTGGAGAGAAAGATCTGGGGGAGTGAATGCACTGGACAGGGTGATGTTGGCAGCAGAGTGTTAACCTGGTTATCTCAAGGTGGAGCAAGATGTGCAGGTGAATTAAAACCTACAAACTGGGGTGGGGAGAAATGTCCGCAAACACCCTGTGGGGATGTCTGCTGAAGCGATGGCTGAGTCTGGGGAGCGGGGACCAGCCCTCCATCCCCAGCTGGCCGTGCAGAGAGGTTGCAAGTATGGCTAATGGGTTGTGTCTGCAAAGTGGCAGCTGAACTGCTCTCATGGCATTGCTGATATCCCCACGCCCTGCCTTTTGTACAGCAGGACTGTGCTGTGTCAGGAGGGCACTGCCCTGCTGCCACCCTCGTATGATTTTTTTCTTCACACCATATAGAACTGTTGAGGTCAGGAAGAAGGGGATATTTATTAATTTAACATCTTTGATATTCAAGATGTCTAAACCTCTCTCTTCCCAGTGAGACACTGCCCATGTCCTGTTTTCTTAAGCCTGAACTGCATTTTAACCCAAAGTTGGAGCAAATGATTTCTCGCTCCCTGGAGACCCAGTAACACACTTTCCCTCTTGCTGCAGCTGCTTTTTCACAAGGCAACACAAACCAGGTGGCTACAGCGAGCAACCACAGATCTTCAGAGACAAGACCCACTCCGGTGCTGCCCGATGCCCCAGCACACGCTCAGCAGTGGAGAAGAGCAACGCAGCTGAACGTACCAGCTACCCCCAGCTAAACACAGCATCTGGTTCCCTTGTGTGCTGCTGCCTGAATTAATGCTGGTTAAATAAGAAGCTACGCTGATGTTCCCTCCTCTCTGCTCTGAACAAAGAGAATGGTTATTGCAGCCCTTGAAAGCAAAGAGTCTGTCCTGCATCTTGAAACTGTTTGAAGTGGCTTATAAAAAAAAGAAAAACTAATGGGAAGAAAGACAGAGTGATGGGAAGAGGGAAGGACTCTGACCCCGGAGAAACTGGGGCACGGGGAGAGGGAAGGATGAGCACTCAAGTATATGTAAGTAAATTTGGTGTCCTGCAGCCTAGGCAAGAAGGGACAAGAAGAACGTGTGGCTGGCCAGGATGGCCAGTGGGAAGCATGGTTTGGACCAGAAATTCCAGGCTTGACCCAGGACATCCGTCCTGCCCATGCTGGCACTGGGCTTCCCTCCCAATGTTTAGTTTCAGTAACTGTCTGGTTTCTTAAGTGTTTTTTTTTTTTTTTCATGCTCCTTGGATGCTCCTTGGGTTCCTCAAAAGCCTGTGGCAGCATGTAGAGCCTGGGCCTGTGCCTCGGGGGGACCTGAAGCACTCTCTGGATGGGTGGAGACACCAGGGCTCCTTTGGGGCCACAGGCAGTTGGTGCAAGGGGTGAAGGGCAACAAGACAGCATTTGCATCTGCTGCCTCTTTTGGGGTTTGCTGCCACCATCATGCACTGCCACGGTGACTTCAAGTTTTATAAAGCTGGATGTTATCTCCGAGCAGCTGCTGACCACGGCATCCACAGCTGGCCAGGATGCTGGATGCAGGGTCTCGCTGCCGAGCGAGCAGCGTTGGCGGAGAGGGGTGCGTGTGGGGGGAGATGTGACTATGGAGGCGTTATCTCCATAAGCCTTCCGAATTCAATTGCATGATGAAAAATAGCCATTTTGCTGACAGTCTCAGCATAGAAGAATTTCAACATCTTTTCAGCCTTGGCATCCTCCCCTTCTGACCTGACTTGCAGACAATGTTTCTGCTGGGCTTACAGAGGAGAAATGAATATCCCGGCAGCCTTCTATCCCAACCGCTGCGTGATCTGCATTTATTCCCTTACGTGCTTTTCTGGACTGACAGGGAAAGGCAATTCCTACTACGTCAGCCCTTGCTGGAATATAACCAGCCTGTTTGTATGGCTGAGGAGATGGGCAGCGTAGAACAAGGAAATGTATTTTCACGGAGATTTTTGTGACTGGTAACTTGATTTTCTTTCTAACCTGGGACGAAACCTGGAAATACAGAAAATCTCCAAGAAAATAGCTCCCCTCATATTAGGCTATTTGCAGTAGGAACGTGTGAGCAAAGCTGGGCAGCCTTGCATTTTGCTGGTGGAAATCACCACTGGCCCAGTTTTGTTGCATGTTTGCAGAGGCAGTGGAGTTGGCTTACAACACGCCTGATCTGCAGGGCAGTGGGTGCAAGAGCATCTACTAATATTTGTGGGTGAAAAGCAAGAGGGTGGGCAGGTATTCCTGCCCTTCCCTCAAATCCTCAGGGGTCTGGAGACACTTCCACCAGTTTCAACAGGAATTGGGGGCATAATTATCCTGGGAAACCGGTCCTGACTTCCTAAAAACAGGGATTCATCTCACTTGGCTTCAGACACTGGGAATGTAAAGAGATGAATCCAAGCCAGGGGAGAAAGAGGCAGTCCCAGGTCATGGTACATCACACACAAAGGCAGACAGCTAAAATACTGTCAGGTGAAGAACTGGTTTTTTATCCAGCAAACATAAAGGGAGCCCAGACAACCAGACCACATAAAAGCCCTGACAGCGTAAAGGGCTGAACTCACATGAGATTAATTTACCCTAAGACTCAGTGCGGTGCTGGACAGCAGCTGCTCTGATCGCAGCCTCTGGCAGTACTGCTTTCAGTACGTGCTAACCATGAGACAGCCCTCGAGGAAAGCAGCGGGCTGAAAGAAGGGATTTTTGGAAGTCTGTGACTGTATGACACTGCTACAACACGCCAGTCAGGTCATGGCTTAACAGACGATGCCAGGGAAGCAGTGGCTGGATGCTTTTACCAGCATCCTTGGAAGTCAAGCGTTGACCAAAAGGCAGGTCCTTCCAATATGAATGCAGAAAAAAAAAACTAGTAAAAGTGAGTGCCTTGGGTTGGGTGATTTATCTGGACATCGCCTGCAAATTTCACTGCAGGTAGGATAAACCTTCCTGAGACTGATGGATCATTTTTCAGTGACCTGGCAGGCCTTCCTTTGCGTACAGGAATAATTTTTGTCCCTTTTCAATCCACTGGTGACATTTCACCCTTTAAAAATAAAGCAGGCACAATCAGAGTGAGAGGCAGCAGAGGGCTGTATGATGTGTCAAGTAACACGATGCTTCCACCTCCTGATGTGTTTCTTCTGCTTTGTTTTTCTTTAGTAATTAACATTTACTAATGACTCACAAAGGGTCAAAATCCAAATATTCATAATTGAAGGGCAATTAGTTCTATGAAGTTTGTACGTGCTGCCTTTACATTACATTTGTGGGGCCATTTCTGAGTATGTACCTGAATAGCAAATGTACATTTGAGCAGCTGTACCCTTAATTACTGGCTGACAGCCCCGCACAGATAATCACAAGTGACATGTTGTGCTCAGCTCACATCCTTCTACTACTAGTTGCACAACCTTAATTAATGCAGCAGTAGAAATAATACCTTCTGGAAAGCTACTTGGAAAATCTGGCATTGATCAAACAGTGAGGTTTTACGATCTTGTGTACCTGGTGTGAGATTCCTTCCTCCTGCGAACAGCCCAGGTAGTGGGAAGCCGTGAGAGAAACATGGGAAGGGAGCCCAGCATTTCCAGATGCTGCAGTAGGCTGGGACTGCACGCCAGTCCTTACTGCCAGTGTTGGGTCTGCTGGGTTTGGGTACCATGGCTCACCTCCTCCTCTGCTGCGTGGTTGTTTCTCAGCCCTGTCTGTGTGGATTTGGCACCAGGGCTTGCTGGGGTGCCATTGCTCCCAGCACCGCTGCCGAGACGTGGGAGTGTGGATCTGTTTGGAGACGGGTTGAGACCAGCTTTCTGCAGGGATTGTAATGGGTATAACAAGGGATGTGAATGCCAGCTGAGCTGGAAGGACATCATCCACTTGCATCTGTAGACTGCGAAATTAAGTCAGCAGTTATTTGTGTCTGTCACCATTTCGGAGACAGTTCCTTGAGACACTGAGCTGCCAGACACTTGGATGCTCTTGGACAGTTTTCGCTTAGGATATCCTCACTGTCCTTTTGGCTGAAGAGCAACATCAGCACCAGCATTACAGGGAAGGGCAGAGATTTGTGCCTGTGCACAAGTGCAGCACTGGCAACCCCCCCCCCACCTTGGGGCAGAGCCACTTTCCCTTCCCAGCCCATGGCCACAAGAAGCCAACTCACAGCACAGCAGGATCACGGGCACCGACCTGAACGTGGCCCAAAATGCCCCAGGAATGTCCAGATGCTCACTATGCCTCAAAAAGTGCTGCCAGAAGGCAAAACGTTTTGAGACACAGTATGTGAATACCTGGGGGATGGTCAAAATAGAAGTTAATTTCCCAGCCATCCTCACTAACTCATTTCCAGTATCTCCAGGCACATCTGTGTTCAGCAGTGGTGGCCAGGGTGCCAGGCAGGACCACCCAGGGGACTTCCCATGCGCAAAGGGATGCTCTGGCAAATGCCAGAGGCAGCGGGAGGGAGGCCCTGAAGCCAGAGAGTGCCGGCAAGAGCAGTGATGATAGCAAGGTTTTACAGTAGATGAAGGTCCCTCTTGTGGAGAGACCTGAGAAAATGTATGATGGCATGAACCTGGGTTTTACCTTTTTGTTTTACCTGTTTTACCTGTTGGAGGTAGATGTGAGGCTACACCCCAAAGGATTTCTATTAAACACCCAGAAACCTCCCTGGGCTGGTGGATCAAGACGACTGTCAAGATCATTGCTTCCTCTATGTCAAAATGAGATTTCCCCTTCCTTCCCCTTGACTCTCTCATATAGACTTGGAGTGAGGCAAAGTAAAACCCAACCTTTGAAAAAATAATCTTATGGGTTTAACACAGCATTTCTATAAATCATAGTGCTGTGATTTTTGAAGTCTAACATTTAGAAAAATTTATGTTTGTTAGGCAAGTTATAACCACGGCTCACTGCAAACCTGGATTCCCTGCTTTCCATGAGATATCGTAAGTTCTGCTAGTCCAGATGGCGAAGTTTAAATCTGACAGCCAATCTGGGATAAAATATTGCTAAAGCGCAGAGCAGTGTAGCTCTCTGGCCCACATTTTAGCATATCTGTATTTGTGGGAGGAAGCAAATATCTCTTGTTTGCTTTCTCTTCATCTACACGGCAGCTTGGAAGTCTGAAATATTGGTCATTTCAACAGAAATGGATTAGCAGTCAAGGCACGGATGAACAGCAAATGAAATGCAAGATGTATGGGATGAATTGATTTGCATTATGGCTACCAGCACCATGTAAGTCGTACACACGGAGCTAAATAGACAGATTTGTGTCATCTCTATTTCCATACATCAGCGTGGGTAATGCAGAGTCTACTTCCCCTCAACTGGTGTCCCCTCTGAATCCAGAGGGCCAAGTTCTGGTGAAGGTCCAAGCTCGCCCAGGGCAGAAGGAAAAATCTGCCTGGTGAAAGCTTCAAAGGAAGAGCTCAGCTGAGAGACTCATGGAAGGTCTCAACAGATGCTTTGCAGGTGGTGGTGGGGGGGTTGCTGAAATTCTGGTGGGTTTGCCTATGCCAGAAGAGCGTGGCCAACACTGACGTTTGCCATTTCATAGCACGCCAGAGTTGGACTGTGTGGCTGAATCTGAACCATAGTTTTTTTCATTTCTTTTCATCCCTCTCACTTTTTTTTCTTTTTGTAGAAAAATCTACAGCTCTCTCATGATATGCTTTTTTATTACACCCATCTATAACCCTGATAGTGATTTTAGTCTTTTATTCCCAACATCACACCCCCTAAATCCTGACTCAGTGTCCCAGGCTCCACACCATGACAGTGGCATAAAAATGATGAGAATTTATAAATAAAACACATTTTGGGATCTTATTATTTGGTTTTGGGTTCTTGAACCTGCAGGGTACTCTCCAAATACCTTTTCATGTTTTCCATTCTCCAACCACAGGAGCAAGAACTTAATGAGTTTCTCCCATATTCCCATGACTCCAGACTCTGGGGCTTAAATGAAAATCTTCACTTCTTGTGAAAATCTTGATAAAGTCTCTAGAGCTGGCAAGAGGAGCACTGAAGATTCACTCTGACATCTGTAACACCCTACATGTCCAGACCTACTCCATGTCCCACTTGTCCCTCCCGTTTCCTCGATCCCTTGATCACAGTTCCACAGCACAGGCTCCCTTGGGGCTTCCCCTGCCCGCCTCCTTGGTCCACCTCCATGTGTTGCCTTAAGGGCTTCCCACTTTTTTCCTTTCTTCTCTCCCTTTCCCTGTCATTCTTCTCTTGCCCTTTTCTCCAGCATCTTACCCTAAGTTATCCCTGTTCCCTGTCCTCGCCCAACACCCAGCATGTGCCACTGCAGGGGAGCGCTCCTCTTGGAACACCTCTTTCAAGACCTCTGATGTGGTTAAAGCAGGTACTGCCCACCTTTCTCCAACGATCTCCAGGTCCAACACTGTTCACAGGTTGGACCATGTCCAGACAGAGTCCCACCACACTACAGGCAGTGGCCAACCTTGGGTCTGCTGCTGACGCTCTCGCTGGCTCTCCTCCCTGCAGCGTAGCCCTGAGGGGCATTGCAAAGGACAAGAAGCCCAGGGGAGGAGAAGATGTGAACGTGCAGCAGCAGCTCAGGGCTGCCTAGGGTAGGGACAAGGGAGCTCAGGGCAGCAGCCCAGGGGGGTGTGAAAAATCAGCCTCAGCCAGAAGGCAAATACCAGCCCGGAGACCTCACTGCAGGGAGGTGCCGCGGTGGAGACCTACCTGTACAACGCGGAGGCTGCTCTCTTCAGCCCTTTAGGTCTGTTGGGTTTAGGTTCCCCGGCCATGTTGATATCTGCAACGAACGGACACACAGCTGTGACAGGGCACGTCCGCGCTCACCGGCCGCTGCACCCGACCATGGAGCAAGGGAGGCTGTGCACAGCCCTGCCACCGGCAGAAGCAAACTCTTCCACACCTCCCACTGCATTCCCACCTGCTTTTAGCATGTTTGGGGCCCTGCTGGACCTCCCCAGGAAGGCAAATGTATTCTTGCTCTTGGCAAGCCTCTTCCTTTTCCTTTACAAGGCCACTAACCATTTATTTTTGAAGTCAACACGCCGCACATGGTCGCCCCCCCGCCAATTCAGGACAGGCTGCTCAGGAGAACTCCATGCTGTTACGGTAAGGCACAGACAGTATATAAAACTGCTGCATGCTGCTAACAGCTAACAATTTATCCCTTGCTCCTTCTAGAATAAAAATGAATGCTAAGCATGAGACAGACAGTGTCACTGTGGACTGGGCTGTTAAAAGCTGCACGGGGTGCAGGCACACGCCTGCAGCCACCTCAGCTGATCTCAGAGGAGCATCTTCTACCAGGGGAGGCGAGAATGAGCTTTTCTAATCTGCTGAGGATATTTCTCTCCTCGGCTTTGGTGCCAAACGTGCTTTTGACATGAGAATAAAGTGGTACAGCCAATTTCATGGGGGCTGCTGACAGCCTGGCCATCTAACACTGAGTGTGGCCCCAGAACCACAGAGAGATGAGCTATTGGGAGCATGAGGCCTCACCTCCTCTTTGTTTCTTGGCCCAGGAGTGAGAAAATTCACTACTGGCTTCTCCAATCAGCCCCAAGATTTTTCTGTTCTTCAGGTCCTGTCTAAATAGATGTCAGACCCCTGGGCATGCCAGATCTGAGCCAAGCAAGACAGGAATCCCTTAAGCAGACCAAAAGCACCATTTCATGGGGCTGGACACGGGCTGTCCCACAGCACTGGGACTGGTCCTCGTGCTAAGTTACAGTCTCTGAGGTGCCAGGGGATTTGCAGGTCTCTGTCTGGGGCTCAGGGTTTGTGCATCTGTGACTGCTAACTGGGCTATTTAAATTCTCACATCTTCAGGACTTGAAAGGTATGAAACTCAGCAGGTTTAAGTTTGCTAATTGTTGCTTTTTTCATGCTGCATGGAAGGACTTTATGGAGAAATGTGGATAGGACCATCAAAATAAAGAGCTTGGAAAGGATGCGAAGTGAACAGCCTGGTGACTTCATTATTAACCAAGAAAACCATCTTCAGGAGCACAGGAAAGCTGCAGCACTGCTGAAACAACCTCAGCTCCAACAGAGCACAGACATGCTCCCACTGCCCAAACAAATTGCTGTGCAAACCCTCAGACTGCCTTTTAGGGTCTAGCAAGAGACATCATTCCTACTGAAGCTGGAGCTTAGCCTATTTATGAGCTTGCACAATGAGTGTGGTATCAGGGTGTCACTCAGCCATTACATTGAATGCTCCTCTGGCGGCACAACCAGCTCAGGGTGGGTGTTTTCTTTGCGGCCTTTCACCCTCCATCCTCCCATACTCAGCTGCTAAGGGGAACGCAGAAGAGCACGGAGCCTGAACACAGGCAAGGATGTGCAAGGCCATAGCACAGGTCCACGGACAACTGCTGCCATGTGAACGTTATGCGTGCGGTTGCCTTTCTGAGTCTGTTGTGCAACGCAACGCTTGTGGCAACGCTGTCTGCTGCAAAGGAAGGGAGGAATAAATTCTTCCTTGGTGCATCCCAGAACACATCCCTGCTCAGCTCCAGCTCCCTCGTCGTGAATCCTTTTTGCTGTCAGGGTGCATCTTGCCAGCTGCCAGTCACTTTTCTTGCAAAATGGAGAGCTAATGACAGCACCATGCTGATTAACACCCTTCAAGGGAGACACAACGAAAGCCCAATGGTGGATAATGACAACAATTAGCTCAATTTGCTGGTTCACACTGCTAGAAATAGCACAGTGGAACCTTCATCGGTGTGTGCAGACAGACCAGGAAATTTATACTTTCACCCTACAGTGGTGACGGGCAGTCAGATCCCTCAGGATTCCCTTGACAGTGAACAAGGAGAAACGAGCTCAGCATGCACATCAGCCCGCACGGATTTTGCATGTCATTCCCATTCTGGCTCCCTCCTCTGCACCACTGAATCCATCCGCCTACTCCAAGGCAGTATCTACTCCTCCTGAACATATCTGGGCATCTTTGCCCACACTAAATGGGGAGCTTGTGCTTTGTCTAGCCAACATGGTAGGCTTGGGTTATGGTGTGGTTCCAGCTTCTAGCACAGAGTTCCCCCACTGGAACGGTAATAGCCTTCTGGGGTGTCTGGGAGCCTCTGGAGAAAGCACAGAAGAGGTTGTCCGGACCTGCCCGGAGGAGCAGTCCATGTCCTACCACAGGATGGGCTACAGCAACGGTTTCAAGCACCTCTGTTTTGCGATGTACTCAGTATCTTGCTAATCAATTGAAGTGCAAGCTTGATTGTTTGCATAGCTGGTAATGAAGGAAGAAGAAAAAAGAAAAAATGAAGAAATGCTATTAAATCACTTAGCTTGAGAGCTGATCCTTAGCTGGGAGATGTGAGCTAGAAAGATGCTGCTTGCTTTGCTTATACATTCTGGTATGTGCTGGAAAATGTCACCTGCAAATCATCATTGGCACCCAGGAACAGAGGGCTGAACACTCCTGTCACCACCAGTGTGTGTAACTGTCCCACGGCAGCGCAGCCCGCTGTGCTCGAGCAGGCAAGTACCACTGAGAGCTGGATTCGCTCATTTAAGGGTCTCTGCAAGGACCAGCTTTTCTGTGATCTATTAGAAGGACTTGCAAGAGCCTGGACAGATGCTGGAGGAGATATGAGAGCCTTAAACTACGTGTCCATGCAGACAAGAGGCAGGCACAGCACTCACATCACACAAAACGACCGCTTTCCTGTATTCTCTTTCCCACCTGAACAGCTGAGGCAGGAAAGGCAGTTTCACTCAAACTGTGCCACGCAGGGCCGCTACGACCAAGTCATTACAGCAAGTGCCTGCCGTGCAGGAGGGGCTCTGGATTCGGGCAGGGATGCTGCCCTGCTGAGTGACCCCCTGCTGGTACTGGGGACAGGCGGCCTTGCCCTATCGACAAGCTGCTGCCCCTGAGCAGGTTGGGGGCACTTTGCCCCTACACTGGACACTGTCTTGAGCCATGCTGCCCCACCGCGCGGGCGGTGATTCCCCAGGAGCTCCTGCCGTGCCAAACGCAGCTGTTGGCCCGGCAGTCGCGGTTTGCAGCTCTTCCCCAGGATTGCGTGGCTGTACCCTGTTGAAGTTACTGGCTGGAGCTGCCAGGGCAGAAAGCAGCCTACCTTCCTGCTGCCCACCTGGGCAGGGAAGTTCTATCATCACCTCAAAGGACCCCCCCAAAACCCTACCCACAAAGCAGCGACAGCCTCTTCAGCAATGTGTCTGCCATGTCCCCTGCTGGTCCCATCCTGTCCTTTCTTTCCACATTCCTATGTGGCCATCACCTCCTTGTTCTTAAGGGGGGACTTTCTACCTTGTTTTGTGCAAAGACATTTTCTAACCATGTTGTTCAGCTTTTCTTCTCTGCTGGATTCTCCTGAAAGGGGAGCATCCCTGTCTTTATACTGGTCCATGAACAGCAAAGGAAAGCCTGCTGGGACCAGCACTGAAAGGAAAGTAAGAGGTTCCTATCATGATAAACCCTTCTTCTCTCTCTTCAGCTAAGTGGCCAAAAGTTGCCTGTCTCTTAGCTGCATGTTCTGTATCTGCCTGAAGCATCACAAGGAGCTCCTTTGCTCCCCAAGGCTCTCTTTGTCATGTCTACGGACTGTGCACACGTGGGCAATGCCTGGGCTGGAAGCATCCCTGGCACATCGCGCTTTGCCTCGGTCTGCAGCTCCGCTCTCTGGACCATACGAGAAGTGAAAAGAAGTTTCTTGTATTTGAATAAAGCACGGATGGGAACAGCACACCGTCTTAAAAATCATCTCTAGCATGGAACTTTTTATTTCAGAGTGCTGTGCCAGAAGCAGAGTGGGAATGGGCTGCAAATCGCTTTCCTGGGTGCCCAGTGACCACTGCCTGCAGCAGGCCCAGAAATAACAATTTTTTATTAAAAATACTGTCTCCAGTTCCAATTCTCAGCTTAGAACTGGTGACAAGAGCTTCTCTGCATGTGACACTTCAGAGCTATCTGCAAAATAGGGATGCAGCTGGGAGCAGCCGGGGTGGTTTTGTTTGCTATTTCTTATCACACAGCAGTGCTGACAAGAGACTTTCATGAGTCTAGGCGGGGAGTTACCTCATTTAACATCAGCTGGCTATAGTCTGAGCTAGTCTGAGTCAGACTATCACCAATCTTGGCAGGCAAATGATAAGGCCTGGTCCAGAAAGGGATCCAGGCAATGTCTTTTCCCACCCTTGTTCTTCCCCACCAGATCAAGGACCAGGACACGGGATGATTCAGAATTGTGTTTTAGCCTCTACAATCACAGCCTGTAACATGAGTTTTTGGGCCACAATGTCACAGCCCTGAGGGCAGTAATATGCATGAATGGCCATGACCAGACTCACTTGCGATCCCTCCCACATGGGACCTGGGAGCCTTCAGCCCCTACCTGAGCTGTGTTGTAGGAGTGCTGGTCTCCAGCGCTGTCACAGCTGCGCCTGTGCCTGGCCATGGACCCTGCTGATTCCGACCTATTGGCTGACTTCCCTGCCTGGCCCCAGACCTGCCTTGTCACTACGGATCTGCTTGGTCATTGCTGGGTTGTGTCTGACCTGCTCACCATCATTGGACCTGACCCTGGTCTGCAGATCAATGTCCCAGTTTGACCTTGGACTGCTCGTCCCTTGACCATCCTCTATGGAGCAACCAACATGTGTTGCACCTGGACACACAAAATGGCTCAAGAAACAACTTACCCAGCGTCTGGCCAGCAAGCACACGCCCGTTCTCGCCCAGGACAGCAGCACGTGCGTGCCTCTCGTTGGAGTACTGTACGAAGGCGTAGCCCTTGTGAACGGAGCAGCCCACCACTCGGCCATACTTGGAGAAAATGGTCTCCACATCTGACTTCTTGACCACAGCTGTGTTGAGATTGCCAATGAAGACTCTGGAGTTGATGGACTTGGGGTCATTCTTGTTTGTGATGTTGCTCGTCTGCACCTTCAATGACATCTTGAACACCTGAGTGAACAAATCAGGAGTCAGGAAGTTGTGCAAGGGAATTGCCAGTGTTAGAAAAACCAGTGGGGGATAAACCTCCCAGCAAGCCTGGAGCGAGGGAACCAGCTCCTCAACTTCAACTAGTCAAAGCTCGGGGGGTCCCATCTCCAGAGAGCCCCTGTGTGTTGGGGAGGTGACTGTCAGAGCCAGAGCAAAACTCTTGCTGAAACCCCATTTATCAGGCTGCTTTTAGGTGACAAAACAACATTTAAATAAAATTAAATAAATTTTACATCTAAGTAAAAGCATTAATGTTATTATATGAAAGCTTTTACCTCTCTATACTTAATTACAATTCAAAGGTCTGCTCGTTTTAAAGCAGTTTGCATTCAGCACCCATTCATGCCCACCTTTCTGGGCTTTCCCCTGCTGAGCACTTGCTGGCACAGGCCAGCTCTCACCATGCACAGGGGCAGCCTCGTCCCTGCAGATCCACACTTGCAGCTGGAAAAGGACTCGACTTTTTTGGACACAAATGAAGAGATTTAAGTGGCGAAGCAGCCCATGTGCTCATATCTGATATCTGCACTCTGCTGCCGGCCTGTGCACATGTTGGGCTTTGAGCTGAATTTTGTGCAAACAGGAGGTGTCACTGTTAGCCTGGAAATCACTAAGCCACCGTCAGCCAGATCAGCTGGAAGCCACTCCAACCCGCTTCCCATAGCTGCAAAGCATGATCCTCCAAGTCTCTTGCTTGGGCTATTTCCTGGGCAGCCCCCGAGAGCAGGCTTCACCTCTGAGCACTAGGAGGACCAAGGGACAGGGCTGGAAATTGTGTGAAGTTAAAGCTAGTCTGGCTGCCTATCAGGCTGCCTGCTCACATTTCTGCAGCAAAAATTACAGCTGTCCAAAGACATCAGTTTGATTTTCATCTTCCAGAAACAGAGGGGATGCTTTGGGATCACTACTGTGTGCTGCATGCATAATGTGGGGTTTTTACCTGGGAAAAGTCAGCTCAGAGCTAGGGAAGGTATTTTATGATGCATATTGAAGTGCTGCTCTTCCCCAGCCCCTTACCAGCAGCGCCCACAGGTACTCCCAGCACCCGGGGCAATGCCACCAGGGTGTCCACAACTCCAGGCGGTCACCGAGCCTGGCACAGTGGATGTGCTGCTACTGCAGGGCCATGGTGTCCCCTCCCTGCTAGTCCCCAGCGTCTGCCCTGGCACTGGGCAGAGCTAAAGCACCACCTGGCCTTGGGGTTTTGGCTGTCTGGGCTCAAAGCCCAAGTCTGCCTGAGAAGCTTGGTCCAAGGTGGGGAAGCTGCCCAACTGCATGGGTGCAGCTCCTGTGGAACCAGTCACCCTGGTCCCCAAGCCCTGGCAGGCTCTGCTTCCCTGCAGCCCAGCCTGCCTGAGGCACCGACACTGGCAGCGTGTGAAACGCTGGCTTTGCCGAGCCCCAAACCACAGTCAGTCTTTCCTACGCTCCTCCCTAGGCAGGCAGAGCCTGGGAAAAACCCACAACATTTTCTGTCATGCTTTTTGGGGTTGCACCCGAGACACTCAGAAACCCCAAAGTCTTCCTTCTTCCTTGTCTTCCCCTTGCACAGAGCTTCCTCACAGGACATGAAATCTCTGGTTGCTTCAATCCCCCCTTAAACCTGTGAGGCGGGATAACCTCATTATAGCTACCTCACTGCTTCGCCAGGTGAGCCCCATTTTGGCTCCTCGGGTGACGGATGTCTTTCTGAGCTACCAGCCCCTTGGGATACTCAGCAGGGGCTGCTCCTGGCCATAGTCCCACTTTGCCTGAGGGTACTTCCACCCCTACAGACAAGCATCAACACTCACTGCCACTGGCTCTGCACCTCCAGAATTTGAAACTTCAGCCCAGCATAGAGGTAAAGAGACAACAGAGGAGACACCCAGACCCACAAGCAGATGGTGCTTGCAGCCTGACCCGAGGAGACACAGAGTCTTTTAACACCGATTGCAATCAACGAGCTCTGAACAAACTGCGATGTGCTGACCGTCGCCTTTTTACTTCTGAGAGCACAAAGGACTGGACACTCGATTCCTTTCATCATTTAAAGCCAGATCATACAGAGCGCTGGAGATACCTGGCAAGGTTGATCCTCTATGCAGAGCAGGGGGAAGATGCGATGGCACAATAAATCTCGTCCGGCTCTAACCCCTGTGATTCTACTAACCTACCACTGAGGCTGGAAATGATCTCTCTGCTAAATCCAATCAAAAAAAAGTTAAGATTTTGTCTGAATTTGGCTTGTTATATCTTCCCTTTCACCCTTACAGATTAAAAGAGACAGAGACTTTTGTTTTAATACCTTAAAAACAATTCCTAGCAGACACAGTGTTCCTAAAAACACTGGAAAAAATAATCAAAGGACAGGACTTTAAAGGCATCTAAGTGAATTAAATTCTCACATCTTTGAAAAGTGCTGCCCATCCTCTTGAGGTTGCTCCAAGCTCCAACCTATATAATAACACTTATTTAATGCTATCTATTTTAACAGTGGAGTCTGGAAATGGTTCACAAAGGAAACTATGCCCATTCCTGGTGCAGAGGTGGAGAAACAGAGGAAGAGCCAAAGCTGTTTTCAGTTGGTTTTGGTTACTTTGGGCACCTAGCTTGAGCCTCAAGGACTCATTTCACAGAAATCCTGAGCATCTGCACAAAGCCCGGCTTGAAGGCTGCTCCAGGATGGCCAGGCCCCAGGGAATCTCTATCCTAAACCTGCTGGGACTGGCTGAGGCTGTGAGGGACCTTCAGAGAGCCTGCACAGATGCAGGGTATCTGTAGCCAGGTAGCCCTGGATGGTCTTGGTACCCAAGGACACGTCTGACCTGTTATGAACCCATGGCTCTCCCTGTCCTGGGGCTTCAGTGATGTTGCAGGACGCTGAGTTCAACATGTGGCTTTACACTTGGTGACTCCTGGAGTTTCCAGTTCCTGATGCCCTGGCACCTCTTTCACCCACACTAGGCCATGTCACATGGACATCCCTGACCCACTTAGCTGCTTCCCCTCTAGATGATGCTCTCCCACTTTTCCACCCTTGTTTATCTGCCAGAGTTTAATGCACGTCTCCAACCCATTTTGCTACCTACGCATGGCCCTCCTTTCCCCATCCCCAGTCCCTGGAGGAACTCCTCTTGCAACTGGCCTCTGGGCAGAGTATGAGCCCTTATCACTGCCCTTGGAACCCCACCAGCCAGCTTGCACTGCTCTGGGAGGCCACCCATCCGGACTGCCATGTCCCAGCTTGGATGCCAGGATGCTGCAAGAGACCATGTCAAAAGCCTTCCTGAAGTTAAGGCAGATGTTACCGGTGTCATGTCCCTGGCCACACGCTTGGCCACAGAAAGAGAGTAGCTGGTCAAATTTGGCCATACAATTTCCAGGTCTGGCCTAGCCACAGGCAGGCAGGAGGAATGCTCTCTTCCTCAAAATAAAATATAGCACTCAAATAAAATACACTCCATCTCTGTTTTCATACCCTATCGCCGAAGAGTTTTACTGCTGCTACCCCTCCAGGCCCAGCTTAGGGAAACCCCAGGCTGCTGTTTGCCCAAACCCTTCCCAAACGCTAACCACCCAGAAGGGTGTTATTTACAATACTCTGAATCTCTGACCAGCTGTTTGCAGTTGCAAACACCAATTACATCGGGGTGCTGAGCTCCTTAAGCCTGTGTAGGAGGGATGTGTGCTAAGCTGCCTCTGTGCACGGGAACAGAAAAGGCTGGCTGGAGGATTCAGGTAGGATGGGGGTGCGTGGGGGCATAAAACACATGCTCTCCCCCAGATCTACTGGGCTGTCCCCTCTCAGCAGGTGCAATATGAGCCAGCTCTGCTGCTGTCAATGGACTCTCCACTCTGTGGGTTTGCTTTAATAATGAAGTTGAGGCATTTCTCAGGTGGGCACTAAAGCACCAGATGGATCTTCACCTGCAGAAGGACATCTCCTAAGGCATCTCCCAAGGTATGACCTTGGCCGCCATGGAGGTGGAGGGGTGAAGGGGAACCTGCCTCTTCCAGATCCCTGCTCCCCCATCCCAACTTTGCACCTTCCTCGTCTGGCTCCTGTGACCTTCCCCCATGCTTCCTGCAGTGGGACCAGCACATGCTTGTCCCCTGTACTGTCTCTTCTCCTCCCCACCTGGGATGCTGGGTACGGATCTGATAAAGCCTGCTGCTGTAGAAGCTGGAGAAGTCACTTTCACCGCTCTTTGCAGGGACTGGTGACGGCGTGGGGAGCTCAGCATCCACCTTCCTCAGCAGGTGGAAGCCCCAGTGGCTTAGAGGCTATCTCAGGACAATGCAGGTCTGCGCAGGAGATGTGCCTGTGGCTGATGAGCGATGGGATGGGGCCACCAGATGGCAAACACAAGGTCAGGCAAGGTGATGGCCACGCTGCTGGGAAAGACTTGGGAGGAAGCCAATGAGGACCCGACGCCTCTGCAGATGGGATGCTCTCCCAGCGCCATCTGCCCACTGACTGCCCAGGCAGGGAGGAGGGCTTTGGCAGGGAGCATTGTCCAAGGCTGGGGAGTTGGGACTCTGGGCTTCTAGATTGCTCTGAAACCATCAGTGATGTCCTCCATTTAACAAGTGGCCTGCACGGCTCTCATTTTGCAGCTTTTAAAACAGTCAGCACCGTGTGTTCAAAAACCCTGTGCGAAGTCGTCTTCTGCTGCTCTGTGTAAGCCTGGCACTCCCTGGAGAAAACAGCCTCCCTTGCCTTCTCTGTCCTGTTCATTTAGGGTTTCCTCTTAGACACAATATCCATTTTGCATCACTTATTGGCCCCTTTACTGTAACAACTGGAAAAGGACATTTTAATCTTCGCATATTAATATTTCATACTCCACCTAACTGCATTCCAGCAGAGCACTTTGTGCTGTGCCCACATTAAATCCAGCACAGCAATCAGCCACGTCGGCTTAGCATCCTTTCCATGTGAAACAACACAGCTCACCAGTGCAGTGCTA